TCCTGAAATTAGACCCTCTGTAGGCACTCAGCACAAGGATGAAAGAATTAAGAAAAAAGGAACAGCTGTGCAGTTACCACCAAGTGTAAACGCTAAGAACACTTGTAATCGTTTGCTTGCTTCATCTTCTCGACCTGGGCCCTCTGTTTCAGGTAAAGAATTGGTTGGAGACGAGAACCCTGATAACATGGTGTCTGAGACTCCTCCAACTGTGAAGCAGTTTTGTTTGGTTGATAATGATATTGAACATGTAGAAGATGAACACAGAAGCAATTTGATAAACAGATTTCATCTTGACCGACTCCCCACCAAAAAAAGAGCGATTGAGAATCTCGAGAACCTTTCTGAACGTCTGTCTTCAAGAGACTGTTTACATGACTTGTCAATCCCTGAAATTAACCCCCTTGAATCCGATGATGTCCGGAAAAACAATGTAGCTGTCGGAGGCTGTGGAAACGCAACTCAAATTAACAAATCTGGGAAGACGTTAGAAACACGATCCGAGGAGTCAAGGGAGAATCCCAAGAAAAGCACCATCATGCCAAGTGAAGCCACATGCAACAATTCTATCAAGAAGAGATTGAGGAGCTCGAACCTTCCAAGTAGGTTGCTTTTTCTATATCTGCTACTCTGATGTAAAGAGTTCCAATTCGACTTTCCAAGTCAAACCTATTTGTTTATATGCCTTAAATTTACATATATATACATTCACAGAAAAATTAAACGTATAGATCGAAATTCCGTTATCGTTCAATTCTGACTGGTAATAAATACCGGGACTTCGCAATTGTCATGGAGGTCTTGATTATTGGAAGAAGTTGAATGACTTCATTTGATCTCAAAGTCAAACTATACATTTTTCTATAAATGGAGTATCTTTGTTGTTAAAATCACCCCCTTTGATCTCAAAAGTAAAACTATACCTGAAACGGGTTTTGGCAGTAATTCTTCTAGGATAACTGATTAACTGATATGTTTCCTTCAGGCAACATTTTTTAACCTCAATAATTCTTCATGAAGTCCTAATTGTAGCCCGTTTGTTTTCAATTGTCTGTCCTATTTTGACTTAAAATGCCAAACGAACTATTTTCGATTTTAAAATTAACATTGGTACGCACAACTTAGGAAATTTTAATAAATACATTAAAAGCTGCAATAAACATTATAGATACAAAACAATTGGTGTTAATCAGTAATTTTCATAACTTAGATTAATACAAGTTACGTCACTGAGGACAACTACTAGTCTACTATGGAGCTGGTTATCAATTTATGCCCATGTAAGTCATCTAAATGTTTCTGTGTTTATGTACTAGTGAAACCATGTGTTCTGTATGATCTTAATCTGATCTTTTTGATGGTTAAAAAGACATAAAAGGGGTAAGGAGGAACTTGCTGGGACAAGTGACAGTATTGATCTTTGTTTCTGTTTCTTTTTCTTAAATCTCCTCAAAAAGCGTTTTCTTTTCAAGTTTCAACATGACTCTATGTTTAAACAGTTGCACGGCCAAAGAAGGCTAAAAAAGAACCTGCCGGGGCAAGCGAAACCGACACCTTAGGTTCAAGATTGCATGATGCCGTTCGTCCCTCCCCCTCCACTGAGATTTTTCCTAAATCAATAGGTAAGATTCGTAACTTATTGATAGTTTTATACTTGTTCTCTCGTTTCCATCATGTGACTGTTTGCTTACATTGAACAGCTAAACCAATGATAGCAACCAAAAAGGAGCTAATATCGGATGGTGTGTCAAACATTTCTTGCTCCACTTATATTTCTAGTTTTCTATAAATTTGTAACATGAGAATGAGTCCATAACTCTCTTGCAGAAAAAGATAACGATAGGTTTGTCAAACCTGAGCCTGTTGACTATGATGAGGCGCTTCCGCCTGGTCCCACCAACTCTTTATTTTCTGCGGTGATGAGTAGTTACCAATATCTTGTATGTATTCTCGGAACCCTATATTCTCTGTGCTTACTTTTAGACTCTATTTACTTTAAGAACTTCAGATCACATAGGATTTTATTCAAATTGTTTATACGAGGGCTTCACTGATTAACCCTAGAATCAGACTAATGGCCTTAGTTCTTGTGTATGAACTGTACCCCATTTCAATTCATTACAAACCCATAATTTGAGTATATATTAGCCATCGAAAAGTTATGAAACATCAAATCAACATAAATTTGGGGACTTAAACAAGATTATATTGGTCTTCTAACAATCCCTGCTTAGTGCTGCTTAAGCGGCTCTTTAGGCATTAGAGTCTTATTGCTTCAATTAGTTAGGGTTGCTTAACTTGCACCTAGATGTTAGATTTCTCCATCGCCATAATTAGCAACTAATTATTCAATTACGTCTTTCAAATAATGAGATGGTTTTGGCTTTTCTCAGCTTATGCTCATCGATTATGTTTCCCAGAAGGTAATCTTTCCAAAAAAATTCTAATACTACTATTGATCATAGAACATTGAGAATGGTTGTTTCTTAAAGTAAATCTATCAAAACAATGTGGTATGAAAATGATAGTTCTTGTATGCATACTTTATCGTGTAATGATTGTAGTCTACGCATTTATATGAATTCCCTACATGTCCTTTTAGACCATCCACTTAACATATTTCAGACCACTAAACCAAACCAAACCAAACGAACCCAGTAAGGGCCTGTTTGTTAGCAGCTTAATGAGACACACAACTTATTCGATCAGCTGTACATGACTGTTTGGTAGTGGCTTAATGATATAGGAAGTGGGTTACAAGGGGGAGCTTTATGCAGAAAGTTAAGTTTTTTCTCCAAACCTGCCCCCCTCCTAGTTAAAAAACATGCTCCTTCCATCTATTAATATACCCTCCCAAACAAAACCCTTCCCAATCTATACAGACATATAAATCCACACAAACAACTTTATCCATACAAAACATAATGGAATAGCACCCAAACAATCTCTAAATTTCTCATGTGAGGTGAGGTCTTGGGAGGGTAAGATGGTCATATTTCAGAAAACTAAAGATCATAAATGGTGATATGCAGGAATTGCCGGAATGGGTGAAGTTGAAGAAGGTAATTCTTCTGAGAAACGGTGGTGATCTTTGGCCAGTTTTATATCAAAACCAGTTGGGTTTAAAGGCTTTGACACAAAGTTGGCAAGTGTTTGCAAGGGAAAGAGGCATTCAGCCAGGAGACAACTGTGAATTTGTGCTGGAAAGCGAACCAAATGCCGACTTACCTTGCAGCGTGTTTAGAGTACACGTTACTGCCAAATAATGTAAGTTGTACTCATATTCGACGTGTTTTTGGTTGGTGAAGTTGGGTTTTTTCTTTTTTGGTGGTTTGTGGGAGTTCTGTTTTTGGATGCAACTTTCAAGTGCATGGTAAATGTCATAAAAGCAGGCAACGGGTTTTTGTTGTCTCGTATCGAGTTACAAGTGACTATAAACTGTAAGAACATGTATATTTTGTTCATCAACTTTCAACTGTATTGTCATGTTTTTATGATGTTTAAATAAAACAGTTTTCTTTTTGGCAAGTTTCATGTTAAAAGTATTTTTCACCTATTGTTGTCGTGAGCTGTGGACCCAAGATTTTTATCCTGTAAAGTCGTGGCTTAATTATAAGGAAAAGTTATTGTGTCGGTTTGAAAAATAAGATGCATTTTCTAAACGGAACTGACCTTTTGATCAAGACACAATATACCATCTTTTTTTATGTATATAATATTTATACACGGCAAATGCAACAAATAAACACACACTCTGACCTCCTAGTAGGCTGACTACAATATCGCTAGGTCAAAGGCTATTTGGTACAATATACCATCTTAGGTGTAAGGCTAGTGTGGCTTTAGCCGAATTTCACCTCAAACAAGTTTTTTTGGCTGATTTCGAGCAATTTCTTAAAGTTTTTTTTTGGTTAATATCAAGGTGTTATAGTTTGTAGCCTAAGTAAGGGGCTGTTTACCCAATTGCTTACCCGGTAAGCGTTTACTGATAGAAGTCAACATTATGATTTATTTTGATGCGTAAGATTTTAGTATATCAAAACATATCGAATGCAACAATTTACTAGGTAAGCGCTTATATGGGTAAGATTTGTCATTCTCACTTACCGGTAAGACTTTCCATCATTCTTACCATCGCTCTTATCCGGTAAGATTCTTGGCCTTTCTCATGTTCATCCGATGAGAAAATTTATCCGATAAGCACTTACCAAGTAAGTGTTTACAGTAAACGACCCCTAAGGCATAAAATATATTCAATTAAACATGTCTTTTAAGGGAAATGCTTCAGATTTGGCATGTAAATATGTTTCATATATATTAAACACTTTCAATCTTATATTAAAACGAAACTTATTGAATATTTGAAATTGGTTTTTCTAGAATAAGTAACATTTAAAAGGTTTTTAATCGCTATTGAAGATGTTTTTGCAACTTCTTCAACACGTATGCTTTATTTTCCTTTTTTTATACCAAATTTAGAGATTTCTCCATTTTTTTTATCTATTTCTTTTATTTATTTTAGATGAGAGTCTAACACAGCGGTTGCAACAAACTTTTCTTAAATCTCTAAAATTTCTAAAATAACATAACATAACCACTAAAGATGCTTTTATGTCCAGAATCTTTGAGGGGTTATTTGACAGTTGCTGAATAGTTTGATGCAAAATGATTAAATTGCCAAAATGATTAAAAGACTTTTATAATATAGTGTAAAATGAAATATTATTGTTTGGTAATTGTTTACAGTGAAATTAAAACTCTTAATGGTTAAAGAAGGGTCAGGATACAAAATTGTTCAGAAGATTTTAGAACCATTAAGAGGTAGACCGTTTTTTTACCAAACAAGATTCACCTATTAACGATTCAGAGGTTGCCTCTTAATAAAACTACCTCCCAAATCCTACTCATCCAGATACGCTTGATTTCTCATTCCGTCGCTAAAAATTTCATAACAAATCATCTACTTTTTGGTTTTTTTGGCGATTACAGAATAACAAGGTGACTAAAAAACTGTTCACAGCAACAATAGAATATGACCGATTTTCATTCAAGCCAACACCACAAAATCTCCATTCACTGGAGGGCTCTGAATGTATGATGATTTTTAAGTTTTAACTTACACAAATAATGGACCACACCAACCTGAAAATTAAATGCTAAAATACAATCAAACTCGATGAGTTTGAACAGCGCTGAGCAAACGAGTAAAAACCCACCACATTAGCATATGGGTGAACCATCGAACCAGCATATGCATCTGGGTTGAACCATCGAGCCAACTTTGCGCATGAGATTGTTTTTGCAAGAGGCAGCAGGGCTACTTTGAAGCAACGTGTTTGTTTTTCTTGACGCCTTTCTTTCTTGAGCTACTGGTTTCAGGGCCTTCGGCCTCTTCGGCTTTCTGCTCCGCCTCTAAGATGGCCAGCTGCAACGTACGGGAAAGAAAACAAATGAATTAGAGGTGTCTGTCAACCTCAACCATGAGGTTATAATTATCAAGTAAAACATATACCTCATCAAGGATTGGCTTAAGCTCCTTGTACCGACCTTCAGCAAGATCAAAACCATCCTTACGGAGTTCCTGCCATGGAAAGAAACAAGTCACCTAAATCTCGTTTCTCATCGACCGAGGTCAATATCTCCAAGTTGTGGAATTGCCATACACATCAAAACATTTTTGGCCCATTTAATATAAACCCCAATATAAAATTTAATACCGGGAGGTAATACTCGATAGGAGTGAGGTTCAAGAGAGAACCCCATGAAAAAGGAAGAATAAGGGAACCCTTATCTAAAAAATAAAATGACCTAGATTCGAATATAACCGCCTCTATAATCCTGGATTTAAAAGGTGTTTGGTTAGAGGTATTAAACAGTAATCAATGGGAATGAAAAGAAAAGACGCTGTTTCGGTTTATGTAATATAGTGGGCCCATTCCCCCACAAGGCCACAAGCCCAAATTTTTCATTCCAGGTTAAACCGGAAGAATGAAAATTGACCCTGAACCAAACAGGCCCTTAGTTTTGGGAAAATGTAATGTCCCCTCGTATTCACAACCATTGGATTAAAATAGATGGATGGATCGTAGGAGCTTTCAATGTCATAGAACAATGAGGCATCAAAAAAGATGAATGAAGTAGCTGAAAAACGTTCAATTGAAAAAACTAATTTGGTCAATAAAGGCAAACCTTTCCGGTATGTGCAGTATGTTCATATGCCGCCATTTGCCAGTAATCGTTTGTCCGCTTATAGAAGTCCTTCAGAGCTTCCCCAGGCTTCACCAGAATAATATATGAATCAGCAATCGGTTCAGATTAATGGAGGAAAAGGTCATAATCGAGCTCATACATGCCATAAGAGCAAATTTGACCATACAGTTCTTTCAGTAACAAATTTACACAAAAGCTCATGATCTAACCATCCTAGTAATTATATCGCATAATTATTATAAACAGGATTACCATCGGAGTTCTCTGCGAGTCGGAAAGACCAAGGCTAGCCCTTATTTGCTCAATTCTCGCTTTCTTTTCCTTCCTTCGAAGTTTCTTCCCTTCACCTTTTATTATTGCAACAGCATCTCCCAACACACCACCATTTGTAGCCTTCAAATAGATAAAATAAACATAAATTTGAGAAAAATTAATGTTAATTACATGCATATTCAATTATTTATATTGTGAATTTATATACATTAACATAGAAATGAATTCTATTTTTCCTTGTCCTCCAATGCATAAATAAATATAAAAAAGAAAACTTCTATAAGACTATAAAGTTTGCATTGATTCATCAATGACTCATTATTAACAAGTGTGCCACCAATCTGTCATCCCACCATGAGATTGCTATTGAATGCAGCAATCTTCATTATTTAGGATTCATGTAGAGCACATCAATGATACGCCTTTCTAAATCCAACACTAACAAACTGGGAGAAAAACAGACTCAAATTTGTAGAACTTCACAAAAGTTAATGTTGAGAAGAGAGTAAGACTACAATCGTAGGTAAAAGTTGAGCACGAAAAAGAAGAGGTACCTCCACATCATCGTCGTCGTCACTTTCATCACTATCATCGTTTTCCTCATTTTCATCTTCACTATCTTCTTCTTCATCATCATCTTCTTCGTCATCATCCTCTGATGCTTCAACCCACTCAGACTCAGAGGCCTACGCAAAGTATGGAAAAAAATAACCAATATATGAGATGTATTCTGGAATTAATGGTAATAAATTGAAATCATTGTGCACTCAATCATAGATAATTATCTACGTCATGAGCTTAGAAGATTATGTAACAAACCGGTATAAGGCACTTCCATTCGTCAAGTTTGCTGAGATTGAGTGCATATAAATCATCAAGTGTGATTTCTTGATCTCTTATTTCCATCATGCCCCCATAGATATACAACGTATCTCTTCCCACGACCATGCTGGAATTTATACGTCCACAAGGTTTCACTACCTGAAGTTTGCCATAAATTCAGAGACTATAATCATATGAAGAGAAGAAATAATATAATTATTTCAACCTGTTAACAAACCTCTTCCGGAGTAGCACTGGGCCTCAACAATTTTGAGCTTGATTCATGATTTTTCATATTAGATTTAACAGCCACCTCCGAACCGTCAACCCTGATGTTTCTCTCCATACTAGATGAGATATCATCAATGTTACTTTCCATATTAGCTATTTCATCACAATCCATAGTGTCATCTTCATCATTTGTAGCTACTTCCATGGGATCTATACTACTGTTAGGAGCGTTACAAAAGGCATCTTCATCTTTTTGCTTTTTGATCTGCAAAGACATTCCAATAAACCCCTCAACTGATGAATTTTATAAAAGGAGACAATACCAACTACCAAGAGGGCTAATCTGCTTTAACAGCACAGCAATGAGTAGTTGGTTCCAGAATACATCACAAAAGCTCGTTGAATAACATTAAAACTGAACTGATAATTAACAACAGCCACCTAGGGGCAATGGAAACTAACATTCCAGGATTTTAGAGTTATGTACCAAGAATACCTTATCTTTTGTTGATTTCTCCTTTCTCAGCTCCAATGGGTACCTGAAAATTCAGAAAATTCGTAGATAGTTAGCTAGTTGTATTGAGGTTTCAACCAAAAATCGAGGTTGAATAGAAGGGACTATAAAATGCTTCACATCGAGAACAAGTTCTTTGTGTGGTTCAAGATGAACTTCTCTAAAAGTTTTTGGAGTTGATTAATAGCTAGAACTAGCTACAAAGTCAGCATAAAATTAAGAAAATTGTTAGAATTAAAGAAGCCCCATCAGTGACAGCTACATATTTCAGATAGTCTATCTATAGGATCCAGTAGTAAAAAAAAGCTGTTATGCTCTAGTTACAAAGCACCAAAGTTCTATCAGTGTAATAGGCAGTGATGCAAAAACGACAGCCAGAATAGATAGCAAATGACTATGCCAAACTTTAAGTGTGCACCAAGAAAAAGACAAGATATGCAGGATTTACCAACGATTAATGTCCAATTGGAAGCCGTAAAGTTCGTTCAAGAACAAGCTCATTAACACATCACCTGCGCATACAATAGAAGCTATTAACAAAAAAGAACGAAACCAAAAATAAGTCGAAATAAAATATAAAAAGCCAAAGAAAGCATTATAAAATCAAAAAGTGGTTCTTTTAACTTATATTTAATCAAAAGTAATTAGTAACTGAACAGATTTTGGTATGACCCATCCATGTTTCCCTCACTTCAATGATGATGAAAACAAAACTTCAACTTGTAAAGACATCCATATCTTCTTACAAGCAAGATAACATATTCCAACAAACGTATTAAAAAAACCCTAAGAAGATGCCAACCTTCAGCCTCCATGTCCACGACACCCCCAAAAAGCACGGCCCGCTTTTTGTGGACACACATAGAGAAACCAGCACGAGGCCCAGGAGGCATCCCACCTTTCTTTACCTAAAACCAAAAAAAGAATTAGTGGGGACACATAGCATATAACAATCATTTTCACAGTTGGAACTATAATGCACAAACAAAGAGCAACCGGTAAAATGATGGAAAGCATTTAAAAGTTGATCCTCTAGTGACGTGGTTGATGACACAGCCTGTTAGAAAGTGGAACGGTGATGCTAGAGGTAATTGGTGAGCTACTTGGCTTTCAAGTCATGCCGAGTACATGCATAACCCAGCATGACTCACATATATAGGGGAATAATCAAATGAGAACCACAAAAAGGTCGAGAATCGTGAGAACCTGTCTTCATGTGTTGTGAAACGATGCATATTGAAAATACAATGTTGTTTCACAGTGTGGATATTTTTAATGTATACGTTTTGTTCCATAATGTGAAACAACACTATACTATCACATGCATTGTTCCACAATGTGAAACAACACATAATTAGTCGTTCTCATGGTTCTCAACCTTTTTGTGGTTCTGATTTGATTATGCCATTATATATATATAGATAGATGGAGGTTAAAATGAGAACACCTCCATTTTACGAGAATGCAAGAACACCCTTATCACATGTGATAATACACCTAAGAGGACCTGGTGGTTTGAGGACGTCGTGTCCTGCGACCTAATCCTGCTACTTAGGTCGCGTTTGCGTCTATGATTTAGTATCACATGTGATGGTCTTGATGGATTATAGTATCACATCAATAACACCTTTATCACATGTGAAATACATGTGAGGGGTCTTAATGGTGTAAGGGCGACTTGGCCCGCAACCTAACTCGCACCAAAAGTCGTCCGGGTCTTTGATTTAGTATCACATGTGTATTATATGTGATGAAATAATAGTATCACATGTGATTGTCTATAGTAAAAGGGTGTTCTTGCGTTCTTGTAAAATGAAGGTGTTCTCGTTTGAACCCTTCCCTATATATATATATATATATATATATATATATATATATATATATATATACAGGGGGACCTTTTGAGAACCCATGAAATTGTGATAACCTTGAGAACTTGTGCATCATGTGTTATTTCATATGAATTCTTTTTCAATCTAATACTAGGATTTAGAATATTGAGTAACATATTTCCGTTTCACAATGATTTTGTTTCACATGTACTCGGTTCACAACAATGTGAACCTTTTGACATGTTTGTGAAACAAAAAGTTTAACGTTGTGAACCAAATACATATGAAACACACACATTGTGAAACAAATATATGTTAATCAATACACTAAATACTATGTTTAGACGGAAAAATTCATGTAAAACAAGACCTTCAGGCAGAAGTTCTCACGATTCTCACAAATTTTGAAGTTTTCAAATGATTAAGCCCTTATACATATACACACACACACACTAGAAGGGTACTCATGCAATGCAGCGAGATACATCTCGATTTTAATGTTGTCTTATTCTTTGTTTCTGTCGATGTTATAAAACGGTTTTATGTGGTTTTGAAAAAGCGATAACATTTTTTTTTTGAATAAAATATAAACTTGAAGATATCTTAAAATTTTGAAAAAAATATATACAAATATTAGTAGTATCAAATTAACTATTTAAAAGTTCTCTTTTTTATAATTTCTTTGATTGAATTTTTTTAATATAATTTAATTTAGACTTAATAACGAAGTAATTTATTTTTGGTTTAATAATACAAGTTTCTATAAAAAACAATAATTAAGTATTCAGTTATGACTCAATGATTATCCACATTATACTTTAGTTCTTTTTTATATTTAAACTGAGATTTTATCCTTATTTGATTATGTTTATCTGCTGTTAGTTACACGGATTCAAATATGGAGCTTTATTTTAATCTTCAATTTTAAGTAATATGCATCAATAAACAATACTTTATGCATAAAAATGGTTTTTACGAGTTTTTGTCAAATGCTTTATAATAGTGTATGTATATATAATAGAGAGAGAGAGACTTGGGATCATGTGAAACCAACGTGTTTTATGTGGAACCCGTGAGACCACATTTTTACACTTGAAACTTCACAGTCAAAACATTGTGAAGGTAACCTTCTTTTGTTGTGAATGTTCGGAATTTTTTGACCTTCACAATGTTTTGACTGTGAAGTGTCAAGTGTAAAAATGTTTATTTCCTAACATCAAGTTAGCAAACCTCACAGAACAGATTAATATACTACATATGCATCATGATGTTCTGCTATCATCTTAAAATCAATGCCAGATAGATAATGACAATTCCTCTGGAAGCATACATACCTTGTTCCACACCCAAGTCTTTGGGTCAAGCAACCACATATCCGAATGAACAATCCCTTTCTCTGAGCTGTTTTTATCAGAAGATACCTCTTTCGAATAGCCACCATATAAATAAATCTACAAGCTCAACAACATTTTTTTAATGGTAAATCAATTGAAAATTATACTGACCCGTGACAGAACAGTCATGAACAGAATAGTAAAACAAAATTTCACCCAGATGATAATATACACACACAAATGAAAAAGGAACATCTGAAATCATTAATGCATTTATTACCTGAAAAAGTTATATTTACTACAAGCACCAGGTTTACTCTTCACTCCATATTTCATCTACCTTTCTCCACCATAGATCCTAACTCATTTCAAATATCCAATTTTCTAAGATTCATTACGTGTATACTCTCTGTTTTTTCGTTATCAATTATCAAAGACGTAAAGATTGAGGCTTAAGTAGACATTAGTTTAATGGTATAGTACAACAACAAAGATGTATACAGCGATCAACACTGAGAATATAATTAAGAGGCTTTATATCATTGTATTCTACATTTAACTCACATCGTCTTGGTAAACAAACAGTTGGAAACCACTCCGAGCACTCGGCCACAAGCATCCAGGTGTAGGTTTAATCTCTTGCCACTACAGTAACAAATTAAAGTTGTATTAGTTACAAGAGTTGATTGGACAAAAAGAAACAACTTCATGGTGAATTAAGTTGCCACTTTCTAGACCACTTCACCTTAAAATTATCCAGATCAAAGACGTACAGATCATTAAAGTATCTGCACAACGAAACAAAGTAACAAATAAGTGAAATAAAATATTATATCTTCTGAGATAACTTACCATTCAATATGTTAATGGAAGACAATAAATAGTTCTCTGGTTTTTATCTATTTGTACTTGTATCTTTTATGTTGAAATCAAAATAAACACACTGAACAGACTTCATGCATAAGCTCTTACTTTTCATGATGACTAATATTAACAATAAAGAATGGTGGAAGGATAAGAAAGAAAGTAAACAAAAAAAAATACACCATTATATGTTCAAAGCTTCACAACCAGCGTAATCCATGTTGTTCCAGAGCAACTGAAACACATCTGACCAAGGATTTTACTGGTTTGAAAGTATATTTTTATTTTATTTTTTTGGTTTGAAAGTATATCGTTTAAACCAAAGAAATGAAATTGTGCCCACGAAATACTAATAGAAGATCCATTCATAAAGTGGGGAGCATGTCTCAATCAGCTTTGGTAAAGACCACACACCAAACGTAAAATGTAGATGTGCAACAGCTAAATACATAATAAATGCTAGGGATGAAGAAACTATCAGAATCGATTATATTTGACAAACCCCCAAAAAACAACCTCACTTCTCGGAGAGTGTCATAGAAGCCACCAAAAACAATGAGCTTGTGCTTATACAAAACCTGCAAATGAAGCATAATTTTAGGATGGCAAACTGGAAAACAGAACTGTAAGCACAATTAAAAAGTAGATGTGCAACAGCTAAATAAACCGGTAAGAAGAGAGACCAATGGTAAAGCTGTAAACCGGTTCTAGCATGGGACCAGATGCCAACTATAAAACATTGATCACATACGCCAACAGAAAGAAATAAAAAACAAGCAATACTCCATCTAAGCAACTCCATGTTCGTATATTCAATAGTAGGGTACCTCCCTGCTATAGTCAATCCAAGAAATCAGAATCTATAACATCCTATAATACAAGAGTTGACAATCAAATAAAGTATACATCACCTTATATGTCCCATCAGAAAAAAAACAAAGAGATGCAAATAAAAAAAATGAAAACTTGTGTTGAGGGCCTAATATCCCATGTGTCTAACCGCTGAATACAATAAAACGACAAGTCTCTTGTTATCTAGCGATCATTGTCAGACCATTACAGGATGCAGTTATTTATGTCATCTCTTTGATATTGTTACCCATCAACTCGGTCATTTAAGCATATAACTGACTTCAAGACCTTAATATTCAATTTACCCTCTTGTTGATCCCAGTTAGACAACAAACAAGCAGTATGCCAGCCTTATGCAGTTATCTAATTCTAGCTACATTAGTGAACGATATTTTATCCATGTTAAAGCCACGAATGCCAGCCTTATGCAGTTATCTGATTCTAGTTATAGTTGAAGGAGGACTGTCTTAATTGTTCATTACGTTTTCAAGAAGGTGGGGAGTAAACTACTATCCACAAAGCTATAGAGTAACAAAAAACAATAAAGATGGTACAATGCAGTTAAAGATGCAGGAGCTTTGCATTCCACAATATTATCAAGCCAAAGAGATCTGAGCATACCATCCGATGACCAGAACGTGGACTAGGACAACCTTTATAATTCAATTGTTCCCACTGATTTGTTTTCAAATCCAGCATCCAAAAGTCCTACAATCATTAAACAATGCAAGTATGCAACAATCCACATAAGATAACTCACTTAAAATATCCAGTAACTCTCTCAATCTAATGCCCTTTCATGCCCTTGAGGGGAAAGCATATTAAATCGCAAGCCCATAAGTACTCTACCTTGTAGTGATGGAAACGCTCTTGATTAGGAGAAGTAAATTCACCACCTGGTGACAAAAAACAATAAAAAATTGTTAAGTGTATAGGCATGCCCATTATGCATGCCTTCTATATCTTTCTCTGTTATAATAGAAGAACTACCCTTCAATCTCTTATGTAAAATCTAGTACTTCATGATGCATTATTAATATGGCTGTTGCACATTCAACACTGGTATCACATTATTTGTAGTACATTTGCTATAAAGTTTAATGCAGCCTGCAACTTTTTGTCGTCAACTTTGTAATCCAGATTAATTTAGAAGTTGCAACATAGCATGTTCGACATCCAAAGTCAAAGTGTAACTTTTTTTATGGAACCGAATGGGTACTTTAATTGTGTGAAGTATCAAAATTTTATTGCATAAGTACCAAATATATATAGATAATTCTTCCATGCAACAGCTTGATGAGCACTTCGAGGAGGCGGACTATTAGGGCTAGAAATTAGCTTCCAATCCCCCTTATCCACATCATACCGATAAAGATCACCATAAACATATGTCTGTGTAATAAATCCAAACATTCTCAAAGTAAGTTCCGGCACAATTTCAACAAAGAGAAACACAAAATCATCAATAATCATAACAGTATAACAGCTATACCTTGGTACCGTTGTAGAATTCACCCCCATATAGTATCATTTCCGTCTCTTTCAATGGATTAATGTTCAGCTACAAATCCAATAAACCTAATCAACAACTTCTAAATTCACATCAAAGCTTGCAAATCCAGATACAAAAACACAGTTGCATACCGAACAATTGGACCGAGGAGACGGCCGAGGAGCATTTTCTTCGACATGAACTTCTTTTTTCTTTGCTTCTTCCTTCTGTATGCTTAACTGAATACTCAAAAACATAGTCCTCTTAACTACGGAAGCACCATTAAAATATAAAGCAAAACAACGAAATGTATGTGTAATGTAATTTTTGTACAAAAAGAATACCAAAATAGCGTCAATGTCATCTTCCGGGGAGACTTTCTTAGACTCTCTACGAGCTTTTTTCTCCTCTGCTTTGACCGTTTTTCTCTCTGTTTTCTCCTTTCCTTTTCCTGGCTTCTTCGCTTTCTTCCCCATTCTTCCCGCTTCTCTCTCGTTTTTCTCTCCGCCGCTGCTGCTGCCGCCGGAAAATGTTCCAGTTCCTACCACAGTTTTTCCGAAGAAGAACAGAATGTCACTCCTATGTGCGAGGGTTTTTTTCTTGAGTTAAGGTTGCATATGATGAGCACTTTTGCCCTCAGCTTTAAGATATTAACGAATCAGTCCAACAACTTTATTTTGCATTCTTTTAAGGAGAAAGAGGTTGTTCGGTAATGGCTTAATGGGTTGTTAAGCATGTATGGCTTATTCGATCAGACATATATTGTTGTTCGCTTTTGGCTTATTTGGTCAGCCAGAAAAGTGGAGTCGTATGGACTCAGCCATTTATTCAGCCATTTGTCCCTATGGTTTTTTTAAAGTACGATTTTCATCCTTATGGTTCACTAGGGCTGTTTGCGTGCGGTTTGGACGATTTAACCCTACAAACCACGTCACAAATGGCGGCTTATAAATTTTTCCAAACCAAGCGGTTTGGCAACAAGTGACCAAACTAGTCAAACCAAACCACAAAAAGTCGACTTGAGTCTGACCAGTTTAAGCAGTTTGGATATTGAATTATAAAAAGATATCAATATAGCATTATTAAAAATATGATATTGAATTATAAAAGATACATCTATCTTTATAACTAAAAAAACATTAAACAAGATGAAAAAAGTTAAACAAATCCACTAACAATAGTTGAAATTTTGGACAGACATTGAGCAAGTCGAATGACGATTTGGAATTTGTATTTGATTTTTGATGTCGTTAATATATAATTGAAGACTAAAAATATAAAATCTTGCACGAACCTTTTTAATTGTGTAATAAAGTTAAATCTATAAACATCTATGAGCATTTTTAGTTGTCGGCTAGGGTGTTCGCAGTGCAGTTTAGGCGGTTTAACCCAAATGGCGGTTTAGAAAAGTTTCCAAACCGAATGATTAGGTGGCAAGACCAAACCGGTCAAACCGGACCATAAAAAAAGGGTCTGGTCTGATCGGTTTAGGCGGTTTGGACCTCTTATGGGATTTAAACTTATGATAACATAACATGTGTATTCAAAATGAAACTTCTACCACTATAGCATTATTAAAAATCAGGATATCAAATTATAAAAGATACATCTATCTATATAACTAAAAAGACATTGAGTTGAGCAAGTTGATAAAATGTTAAACAATACCACTAACAATAATTGTAGTTTTTTGAGCAAGTCGAAGGTCGATTTGAAATTTTGGATTTGATGTTTGACTGACTTCGGAATTTTGCCAATTTATATAGACGTAGTCAATAGAGAAATGAAACTAAAAACATAATGTCTTTGTCAAACTTTTTTTAATTATGCCATAAAGTTGAATCTACAATTTCAAAACTAAATATAAACTAACATATGTATATTTTTGGCAGTTGGTTCAATCTAGACCACTCAAAAAACGTTCAAGCTGCAGACCAGATCGAACTGAGTGGTTTGACAAATTTTCAGACCGGATCGAATCGGACCGTCAGACAGCTCAAGCCGCAAAAAATGTATGGTTTAAGCGGTCAAACAGGTTTTTGAACACCCTTAATGGTTGGTTTGATACAGGCTGCTCAAAAAGTGTTCAAACTGCTAAACAAACGGACTGAGTGGTTTGACCCGGGCCAGATCATCATACCGCTCAAACCACAAAAAATGACATGGTTTGACTTAGTTTGACCGGGTTGAGCAGTTTAACGGTTTTTTAACACCCCAATTGTTTGCAACTATTTTTTTTTATCCTTGACACTAACTCCATCCTTTAAGCATGATGGACAAATGCATCATGTAATTGTAAATTATTTGAACAAAAATAACAATAAATTATAAAATAATAATAATAATAAATTATAAGAATAAAAATCATAATTTTAAATATGCATAAACAAAAATAACAATTTCCAACAAACCTCGGTGACAAAAAAAAACATATTTTTAAGGCCTGATGCGAACAATCTTTAGAACTAAAGGGGTGTTTGTGATTGTTTATTTGAAACAACTTATGTTTTTCTACAAAAGCACTCGTTAACTTATTATAAGTTATAAGAGTTTAACTTCTTCAAAAATTCTTGTTACCGGTTTGGCACCGGTATAAGTTGTTTATCCAAACACTAAAAAATGCTTATTACCAATGTCACACCAAAATAAGGGGGTGTTTGGGATTGCTTATTTAAAACAACTTATGTTTTTTTGTAAAAGTGCTTATTAACTTATGTGGTATCAAACTGGAGTTTTGTAAAAAGTGTTTGGATTAGCTTATAACGGTACCAAAAAGCAATAAGTTGATAAGTTGGTTTTTAGTGTTTGGCAAATTTGGCTTATAGATGTAAAATTGCCAAAAAGGTCCTCCAATCAACCTCCAGTGTTCATCGTCTCCATCCTCGTCACTCCAAACCCTATTTTCTCCAGATTCCTCTCCATCCTCATCACTCCAACCCTATTTTCTCCAGATTCCTCTATAGTGTTCATCCGTGTTTCCACCCGCCGTGGAAGAGGTTGTCATCGCGAGACCCTGTGAGTGGTTTCTCTCCGAGAACCTCTGCATCGGCGAGTTTCTTGGCACCGATTTCCGTCTCCAAGACGACATCCGTCTCCAAGATGACATTCGATTCGATTTCACAGGCTTCACAGAGGCTTTGGTGAGATGGACAGACCTCGATTTCTCTGGTTTGAGATTCTCTGGTTCGATTTCATCAGTCGGTCGCTTGAGAGGAAGGTAAGGGTTAAAATGGTAAATTGTTAATAAGTTGATTTTGATAAGTCAGGGGGGATTGACTTATCAAAAACGACTTATTACCGGTTTGGTACAGGTATAAGCACTTTTTTTTTTTACCCAAACACTCCAAAATGACTTATCTCCGGTACCGAACTGAAATAAGTTAATAAGTCAGTTTGAAAAGCTTACCCAAACACCCCATAAGTCAATAAGTTGTTTTCATAAGCAATCCCAAACACCCCTCAAAACCCCCACATAACATAGAATGCCCAAAATTTATGGGATTGCGAACAATCATGTTATTCCGTGGAAGTACAGGGGCCAAAGTGAATAATGACAAAAGAAAAAGGGCAAGAAGTGCAACTTATCCAAATAACTATGAATTGGGTTTCTCCTTCTGCAAGTTAAAGTGGAGAAGAAGCTCACAAGTTCTGCGATCAGTAGAGGGAAAAAACGGACGCCATGGAAGGTACAGAAGGAACACAGCAACCTCACCTGGTTCTCGCTAACAAGCTATTCCTTCTTACTCATTCTGATGTTGATGACATTGAAAAAGTTCGCCTCCGTGACGAAGTCATGTCCACCGTGGTGGCCGACGGTAACCATCTCCACTATAACCGTTTGGATCTCATAGATTTTATATGAAACCAGGTTAATTTTTTACTTATGTGAAATGTTGATTTGGAAGATATGGCGCCGTTGTACGAAACCCTAGCTGCGAATTCGGTGTTGGAGCTCGACCAGAAAGTTTTGGACTCGATGCGTGCCAAGATTGCCGAAGAGCTCAAGAAACTCGATGAAAAGTAAGCTTGTATTTTGTTTGCATATTACTTTCAATCCATTTATATCTGCAGATTCAACGACATCGAATTTCGAGACGAATGTTCTTATGTTTGCAATAAACTCTTATTATACTGCTCTTGTTATTTAGTATATGTCTCATTTTCATTGTAGATCGATTTGTTCTAGAATCAGTTACTGAACGAAATCCAACATTTTGATGATTAACAACGTATACTTAGATTTGATATGTAATTGTCAACAAATTGGGATTCATATATCAACATATTTTATTCTTCGTCTGAATTCATTTGAATATTCTTTTAGTTTTGTCAACCGGTGTAATTGCTGTTGCTTGTCAATAATAATTCCGTAGAACTGGAAAAAACTCCATGAAAAATCATGCAGCAGATATACCTGAATAGGTTGGAAAGAAGAGTCTAAAGTTCAGTAAGCGAACCATACATATAAGATTCTAATCCACGCCGTTAGAATTTGGGGTCTAATGCACTATAATAATGCATATGAACCATCATATTTAATTATAAAAAGGTAAAATTAAGACACCTTAGGAGCTCATTTGGCTCGCTATTTGTATTCTCCAGTGCCTTTGAAGGTGCATTTAGGAACTCCAATACCATGGCTTACAAATTGCTACTGAAGCAATTTAAAAAACATGTCTAGAAGAGAAGCTTCAGTTCTAATGCCCAATATCGAGTTACCTCCTCCAAATAGTCACCCGTCCTACACTCCTGCTCAACCAAGTATTGCACATTAGCATCAATTACCCTACTCGTAGGAAACATCATTGTTGATTTTTGAGTATGGCCTCGGGTATGCATGTTCAAAAGTTGCTGCACAAAAGCGTAGGATATCCCTAGATTTCTGGTTGTGGAAGATTATTTTAGATTCTGCTGGTATGGAAACTGCTCGGAGTATGCAGGTTCATAGTTCACTTGATTCAATTCCCCTTGAGTGTCATGTCTTGATTCCTTTGCCTATGATACAAAGCATTTGGTTTAGGCATAATTGTTAGATGGTTGAGCTCTTGTCATACCTGTCAAGTTTGTTACATCCTGTGATGAACTTTCTTGTTGGTTGATCATGGAATAACAAGTGGCCTTATTTTGGATTAGAAGGAAAATGCCGCCCAAGGAGTGGATATTGTGTATTTGTAGTGTATGCTATGCTTTCATAGTTTCATAGATTCTTCTCTGCTTAATCATAGTTGGTAGCATCTGTGTGGATTTTGTGTATAGTAGAACTTGTCATGTTATCAAATTATTAATTGTCATTAACCATTTCTTCGGTTTTTTATTTTCTTTAGAATAGCCGATGCTGAAGAAAATTTAGGAGAAAGTGAAGTTCGAGAAGCTCATTTAGCAAAATCGTTGTTCTACATTCGGATTGGTGACAAGGTACAGTGGTACACAACAAATATAGTTAACTGGTTCTTGTGAATTTTATATTTCACTGGGTTCTTATATAAGCTTGTTTCACATCTTTTTGGATGCAATCAGGAGAAAGCACTAGAACAACTCAAGGTAACTGAAGGTAAAACAGTTGCTGTAGGCCAGAGAATGGATTTGGTATTTTATACACTACAAATGGGTTTCTTCTACATGGATTTTGATCTTATATCAAGGAGTATTGATAAAGCAAAGAAGTAAGTTGGAATATTCTTGTTGGTATCATTATGCTCTTCAGTTATGCTTGTATTCAATTCATAATGGTAATTCTGATTGCAGCTTGTTTGAGGAAGGAGGTGATTGGGAGAGGAAAAACAGACTGAAGGTGTATGAAGGCTTGTATTGCATGTCCACTCGCAACTTCAAGAAAGCCGCTGATCTGTTCCTTGATTCTATATCAACATTCACTACTTATGAACTCTTCCCCTACGACACCTTCATATTCTACACCGTTCTGGCAAGCATTATTTCATTGGATAGAGTTTCCCTAAAGCAAAAGGTAATTAGTACTACTTTTCTTGGCTTGTGCATAATCTTCCTTCTCATTGTATGTCACCATGAAGCAAGGGGTCTAAATCCATTGGGGTGTTATTATTTTCTCTGCAGGTTGTGGATGCACCAGAGATTTTGACAGTACTAGGAAAAATTCCATTCTTGTCAGAATTCATGAACTCCCTGTACGATTGTCAATATAAATCATTCTTCTCTGCTTTTGGTGAGTTTATCTGATATCTCTTACATCTTGACATTGTTCTATGATATAATTAACTGCGGCATCAAAGCAGTACTACATAGAGAATTCCTTGTCCTCTGCTTTTCTTTTTCACTTATGTAGTGTCCATAAGGACCATAGCATATAGATAAATAGAAAAGCTGTAGGATGATTGCTCATTTGGCCTAGCAAGCTACTTTTGGCCTACACAAGACATATGTATACAAAATTATAGGCACTTTGTGGTGGTGCTCTGTTACTGGCAGTTATATGTCCCTTAATCCGCAAACAGATGAATGAAACATTTGTAATGGAAAGTAGGCTGCCAATATTTAATCTGTCAAAAGTTATCTTTTTTAATAAGTTGGGTACTCACTACTCCATATGAAATGATAGCAATTCAGACCTATTATTTTACAGAACATAAGAAGCTTACTTTGACCAAAACTTTAATGGACTTCATAATCAGATGGGTCGATTCTAAAACCTCAAGACATGAAAATGGTAGGAAACAATTTGGTTCCATTGCACAATACTCAGAGTAACTACCCTTTTGTTGTTTTTTATATTTATACTTCACACCATCCTAATAAATCTTGTCCTCATGATGAAAAACGATGGTTAAATATTCGCAATGTAACTCTACCGTCCGTTATGTTGCCATCGTGCTCCATGGTTGTGAAACTTATCTGCAAATCAGAAGTTCTAGGACCCAACAGAATTTAGAGCGCAATAATAAGCAATTTAAAGCCATAGTGTTGGTTTTTTGAACCTTCAAGGCCATAGTAATTGTTATACACTATTTTTTACTGCAATGTTTTAGGAGATCATATTAATTATGGAAACTCGCTGGGGTTATTGTTGTGGCTGAGAATAGAGATGGGTAATTCCAATAGATGTAGTGACTGCAAGATAGGATTTTATATTTCTCCCAAGCTGAGAGCTATAACCAATTGAGGCATCGTTATTACTTTCTATATAACTAAATGACAATTTTTCTCTTAATAATAGAGGGAAATTAATTTCTTTTCGCGTAATTTAGGGTAGAATTGGAAAGTAGGCACTTACTTTCGAAAGGGGACACTTATTTCGGGACAAACTAAAATAGAGATATGGACACTTATTTTGGGACGGAGGAATATTGATTTTACCCACTTGATTTAACGTATATTTTTTCCTATTGATTTACAGCCGGGATCACGGAGCACATTAAGTTGGACCGCTATTTGCATCCGCACTTTCGTTTTTATATGAGAGAGATCAGGACTGTTGTCTATTCTCAATTCCTGGAATCATACAAGAGTGTCACCATTGAAGCGATGGCAAAAGCATTTGGCGTTACGGTTGATTTCATTGATCTGTAAGTAATTCACCAATATATAATTCAATAAACTGGGGAAAAAACACAAAAACTTGAAGTTAACGAGATCTACTTTTCTGCAAATAGGGAACTGTCACGATTCATCGCGGCAGGGAAGCTCCATTGCAAGATTGATAAAGTGGCGGGTGTACTAGAAACCAACCGCCCAGATGCGAAAAATGCGCTTTATCAAGCAACTATTAAGCAAGGCGACTTCTTGTTGAATCGGATTCAGAAGCTTTCTCGTGTTATCGATCTTTAAGCGTGTAAGTTTATTCCAATCACTTTCTCTTAATTTGAGACTCTTGGTAACAAAACTTTGTAATGGTTTCTAGACTCACAAATGTCTTCTTTTTGTTATGTTTGTTTTTGCGTATGCCCGATGTCTTCTTTCTGTTTTATGGTCAAGAAAATTGTTATAACTTCATATACCTGGGCTCATCCTTTGGTACTATTTCTGGAATATGGAACTTTTTATATAGTTACTACACTATGCAGCCAAATTGACTGCATTTTTTTTAATACAAAATATTTTATAAAAAACGATTTTTGGTTGGCATTTATCTGAGTTAGACCTCTCACCCACCTTTGCGCTTATCCACCGGAAATTCCCTCTGCCCCTACCGTACTCCAGCTTGGTAGTTTCCACCGTGGGGGGTTTAGCAAACGTTTAATGGGAACGCAAGGTGTCACTTACCTTATTAGGTAAGCATGACAAGGACCGAGAATCCTACCCGGTGATAGGCATGGCAAGGATCGAGATTACCTGATTACCGATAATTCGTTTTGATGGTTGAGATCGTTACCTAATAAGGTAAGTGAAGGTGGGTGACTCTTGTCGTTAGTGTTTACCTGGTAAATATTTGGTAAAGGCCCGTATACTTGTAAAATATTGGTAGATAGCCTCTTAATATATAAATTGAATCAATGTTGGGCAAGGTTTTAAAAAGCGGAATCGGGTCTCGAGGCGTTTTTATTAGGCGAGGTGGAAATATATATACCAATTTACACATGTATCATGTATGGGTTGGGTTCTGATGAGAAGGGTAAGAAAGATCATCCTTGGATCAAGCCTAATTGAATTGTGATGCATCAAATCAATTCCCATGAGAAGTGCGATTAACGGGGTGGGCTGAGATTAAAAGTGAACAAGAGTTTTGATCCCTTCTTAAGCTTTCATTTTAAATTGAAAGTTTCCCTATTCTCACACGATGATCTCTCTCTCTCTCTCTCTCTCTCTCTATATATATATATATATATATATATATATATGAGCGATCAAATAAAAACCGCCTCCATTTGTGTAAACCGTGTAAACCAATCTCACCCATCTATTTTCTTGATCAATGTTAAGATTAATCAAGGTTATTTAAGGAAATAAAAAAAAATTGAAAATACATTTTATGATACCGATAAGGGTAAAACCAAATATTTATTCCCCAATCTCCTAATCGATATCCTCCATTTATTTTTTGTAAAGTAATTTATTATTTTTACGTTAACATTTTTACATTAACATTTATTATTATTAATGAAACTAATTTATTTTTCATGACGAACCGCTTACATTATGCATCCGTTTCCATTTCATCTACTGAATGGATCACCTACACCATCACTGAAATGGGTTTTACCATGAAAGCAGTTCACCACTCATTGTTCAATTACGCCATGAACAAATTTCATCTTTATGAAACTTGTTTCATATAAATTAATTTTTTTATTTCACTCATGATTTGATACATTCTTTCCTTTAATCCTTACAATCTTTAAGATTCTGAAGCAGATTACAATCTTCAAGATTCCGAAGCAGATTCATCATGTACCCGTTTTATCATGCAATTATTTCATGACGAACCAAATAAATTATGCACCCGTTTCATGTTCCATTTTTTCTACTAAACGAATCAACTACACCATCACTGAAACGTGGTTCACCATGAAACAATTTCATATTACTCATGAATCAATTGCAACATGAACCAGTTTCACCTTCATGAAACCTGTTTCATTAACATTATTTTTTTTAATTTGAACCATAATTTACGATTTTATTCCATAATGCAATACAATCTTCAAGACTCGTTTGCATATTCAATCTCATAACAATATATCAAATTCAAAATTTTAATATATTATAATATTATAATATAATTAAATATTTAAATGTCATCATTTATACAATTTCCCTTATTACGTTTTCTTAATTAAGATTTATTAATAACTTCCATATTTATTAGAAAAAAAATGGAATTTTCCTATTGGTCGAAATTGGTTTACATGGTTTCTTAAAAATGCACGGGTTTCATTTAAACGTGCCCCTATATATATACACTACACGAAAATATTTATATCTATTGAGGCATATGCCTCTCTGCTGCCTCACGCCTCACCGCATCAGACAACCAAAGGGTATGTCTCGTCTAGGGATCGAGAGGCGCTGCCTTAGGTGCGATTTTAGGCCGTGTACGCCTCACACTTTTTAAAACAACGATGTTGGATATTTGAAACAATCATATCTATTCTTGTTCACTGACAAATTTGTGAAGGAGTAATTTATAATGTATAATCTATATTACTTTATAAACCAAATTTATCAAAAGTCTTAAAAACAATTTTTAATGCACAAGGTACTATACATTTATGCACAAAGTCTTAAAAGTCTTAAAAACAACTCATAATGCATTAAGTACTATTACTTTATGCATTCACTCTTAAATCTCTTAATCTACGATTAAAATAGTATATAGTACAAGTTACCAATGCACATTATAACATTTTCTTTTTATGTTCCCAAGATACTTTTGACACCTTTAACTCATGCCTTCACCCTCTCATACCTCTATGTCTTCTCCCCATCTCCCAATGTGAGATTCAAATTGATATTGACCATGAGTTATTAAAAGTTCTCTCATTCATCTCTCATTTAATTGCTCTAGAACTCTCGGTCTCACTTTCGATCTCTTGATTTTTTGCTCTTGGTGTAAATCGAACGCATTCGTGGAGTCGTTTAAATATGTTGAATTTTAAATATATTTGATTTTAAATTGTCATACAATTTTTTATCGTTAGACTGTAATTAGAACCATAACTCTTATTTATTCAAATTGTATTAATATGTAAAGACCAAGTATAACTTATATCATTATTAAATCTTCTCTAATAAAACCAGTGAAACTTCAAAATTGTTAAAATTCACGGCTCCCGTCGCATTGCATGGATACACAACTAGTCTATTTTAATTGATTTTGTCCAGTTTAACAAGATAACGGGTGAATTTAATCCAAATGTCTGTAATTTGTACTTGTTTTTATGTAACATGAAAATGACATTTCTTTTGTGCAACAAGAACAACCCCTTTAGGATATGGATGAGATGATATGGATAGATAGATGACTAGTTGTATGCTCAGCCTGATCCAAAATGTAAAATTTAAATGTAAGGGGTTGTTTATCAAAACACTTACCAGATAAGTGCTTACCGGTAAATTTTAAACTATCATTTACTTATCGGATAATATTTTAGTCTACCAAAACGGTATCATATGCAACAATTTACCCGGTAAGCGCTTACCGTGGTAAGAATCGTTGCTTTCACTTACCGGGTAAGACTCTTGATCTTTGTCTCGCTCTCACCGGGTAAGAATCTTGATTCTTACCATATTCATTCGGTACGGTAAAATGACTTGGTGTTCATTTACCCGAGTAAGCGTTTGGTAAACGGCCCATAAATCTTTGTTTCGAAATTTATGTTTAAACAAAATAGAAGTTATGAATGATGGTTGAACATGACTTGTTAATTTTAAAACCAAGTTAATAAAATATGAAAAAATAAACATATCGATACAAGTGTCAAATTAAAAGAATTATCGACTATTTTACGTATATGTAATTACCAAAACCACTTTTTCACGTATTTATCAAGATGTGCTGGTTTGCTAAAGTATTAGCTAGTTTGGTGAACGGGAAAATGACTCAAATAGTTATTCCACCCATTCAAATTGGTTGCCTTTCGTCTCCCGGGTTTACCCAAATGTCATTACATCCGCAATATTACGAATATGACTCAAAGACAAAAAATAAAATTCCACTAGGTTAGCAAGTGGTACCGTTGCCCAATTGCGGTTGACAGTTGTAATTGCGATCATAGTTGTCGCATTCCGTACTTTGGTTGAATCTGATAAAAAAAAATTTGTCTTTCAGCCAGGTCATCCGCAATATTAGGGATGTGAGTATTGTGGATATAGTGACATTTGAGTAAACCTGAGAGATGAATGACTAGGAGACCGATTTAAATGAGTGGAATGATTATTTGAATCAATTTCTCTTGACAAATTGCTTACGTTGATCGTACTTGTTATAAAGAGTCGAGATTACTCCATGCATTTGGCCAACTTACGAGGTTCTCGACGAATCCAGTGAAAAATATGGCCTCCTGTGACTTTTAATGATAACAAAATCTGTATTGATAAATACGTAAAAAATGGTTATTTTATTAAATACGCCATGAATAGCGGTAAGTTTAAAGATTTCCCCTTATCTGATTCGAAAATTTGTTGTACTTTAATTGTTGTACATCTGAAATAATCATGTAATTTTGGGCCTCCAACCTTTTGATTCTCTATTCCTCTCCCCAAAAAATTATTATGTTGATAATTTATAAAATATTTTACATAAATTTTTAAAAACCATTTTTTATATATGGAGTACTGTTTATTGATGCATATTACTTAAAATTCAGGAATCAAGATTACAAGTAAATTGAGCGTAAGTACAACTTACTAAAACTTCATGTTTGAATTCGTGTAAAATTCTATTGCTTTATTTATCCTATGGGAAGTTTGGAAAGATCGCAATTCCATTATTCATGACAATGTAAAACTAAATATAGTGAAATTGCCCTCGCCAGTACCGAAAGTGATAATAAAAGTAGGAATGCTGTCAAAGGACGTATTGTAGGAGTAACTCGTTTCTGGGTGGAATTGTAGTACAAGTTACTAAAGCTTCACGTTTGAATTCTTGTAATTAACTGCAGATAAACATAATCAAATAGAAGATAAACATTTCATTTTAAATATAAAAAATTAAAAATATAATTATAATAATCATTGAGTTCTAACAAAATATTTAATTATTATCTTTATAAGAAATTATATTATTAAACCAAAAATAAGAAAATGAATAAAAAAAATATAAAATAAAATGAGAAATATTAAATAGTTAGTTTGACACTAATATCAATATTTTTTTTTCAAAATTTTATGATATTTTTATACTTATATTTTATTCAAAAATAAAAACATTATTCTTTTATCAAAACCACGTAAAACTGTATTATAACATCGACTGAAACAAAAATAAATAAATAAAATTTTAAAGGGTTTTAGGGATTGTTTGACAGACATAAGCTGGTTTATTTTCCAAGTAGATGTTTCATAAGTTAGCTTATTGAAACACTATTTGAAGTAGCTTATGAAAAGTTTTTTTTTATTATCATTTTTTTCATTTATAACTCTCGTTAGTATTAATTATTAGTTTTTACTATTGATTATAAATAAATATTAATTATTAATAAATAAATATAAAATTAACTATTACTAACATAAAATAACAAATGATAAAGAAAACATACATATTTATATAGTTCAAGATTTATCAATATTTTATCAAAAGGCTTTTACTCTAGCAGTATGTGAGTCATTGGTCTCTTAAAAGATCAATAATTTAAACCTCATTAAAAGTGAGGAATATGTATATTTATTTATTCTATTTATCGTATATAAATATTATATATATTTAAAAAAAATATCAAACATTTTTGTTAGATAAAAAATGATATATTTATATAGTTCGGGATTTTATTAAATTATTGCCAAAATTTCTATTGCTCTTTTATCACAATTATGGTTCAAATCACGTGTTCCATATCTAACCATTTCATGTGTGTCACAATCTTAACAAACTTTATGAATTAAATTAATTTATATCTAATCATTTATTAAATGTTGAATTTTGCTAACCGATCCAATCTGATTAATATTAGACAACTGATCCTATTCAATGGATGATTGGATTGGATCAGTTCGTTTCCATCAATTGGATATTTGTTTGATTAGATCAGATCCATCCAACATCCAATAGATGATTAGATCAGAGTGAATCTATTCAATGTGTTAATTCAATTCATTTTCCAACAATTAAACAAATTTATTAATCATTGTTAATATGCATTAAAACCAGCACATATAACGCTAAAAAACAAAAAACCCAGCACCAAAACAAATTCTGATTAAAGTAAATTGAAGACAAACTAATTGGATGATAGTTGGATGAATAATTAGATGATCATCAGATGGTTAATTGAATGTTGGTTGGTTCGGTTCGGTTGAGTTTGGTCTGTTCTGGATTGCCATCTAATAACCGACCGATTCAAATTAGATGTTGAGGATTTCAATCCGATCTGTTCCAATTACAATCGAATATCTAATTATGATTTATTTATTTAATTGGATCGGTTGACTTTCTATACATCATATCTTTCAGTATAATATATCACTATCATAAATAAGTACTCACAATATTTTCTATATTATAAAAATTAATCATCAAATTTCGACAAAAGATTTATTTATTTCTTAAATATTACAAAAAGATGTTTTACTTTTTCTTAAACGAATCTTAACAATTTTTTTTATTTAATTATGTCTCTAATTAAATCACAGTAAGAGGTTGTTTACCAAATCTTTTATTAAGTTTTGTATGGATAAATTTGTATGTCTGGATAAATGAGTGTTGTTGTTTACTTTTATTTATTTGAACCAACAGTCTGAATAACATAAATGACCGATTTACCCTCCAATAGTAATTATTTGAACATCAAAACAGAAAATCATAAAGAGGTTGACGATGGGATGTCTCATTTGGGAATGAGACGATGCTTTAAATAAGGGGTAGGGTGTCATTTTTGTGGCTGAATGAGTACAACATACCATTTCTGTCTGTGCAATTAAGTCATGTTCTGTACGAATAAGCCATAAGTAAACAACCTAAATGAGATGTGCGAATAAGCCAGATAGACCAATAAGACTAATTAAATCGCAAGTAAACAGAACATATTTTTTAAGTTGTGTAATATTTATGCATGATAAATGAAATTATATTTAAAAACGTTAAAACCTCGACATTTAGAAAGGTTGGGTTATTAAATACCGTTGGATCAATAAGGACATAAAAGTAAACTATTAAACGCAGTGTTATGGCTTTAAAAAGCCATTACAGTTTCATAAAAGTTAAAAGCGAAATAGTTTCTCTAAATTTATTTACTATATTATAAAATATTTATTTTATATATTTTTTACAAATTTTTAAAATTTGAGTTTATAAATTATTATAATATCATCCAATTTCTTAAAAACCTTATATTTGAATTTTACAGATACACATGATAAACGTTAATTTACTAATCTAAGCAAAACACACCAAACCATTTATGTTCAATCGATTTTTCCATTATAAATTAATAAGTTACATTTATTTTTTCATTTTTTTTAGTTTAAAGAGCAGATTACTTCTTTCGTATTAAAATAAATGTATGCAATAAAAAAAAATATATAATTCTAAAAAAAATATAATTATTACACTTTTTAATTAAAAAAAGATAATTTTAACTTTTGAATATATATATATATATATATATATATATATATATATATAAAGAGAGGTGAGTTATTATGCAACCCTTTATATTTGTACAACCAATACAACTCAATCTCAACCGTTCATTTAATTTGATGAATATGTAATTTCATACAAGTTTTTATTGTTTTTAAATATAAAATATTGATCATAATTAATAAACTCTAATAATCTTCCATAAATATTCAAATCATAATAAATGAACTCTCATAATTTTCATAAATATTTTAATTAATTGGGTTGTACAAATAGAGATGATTGCATTTGAAATATCTCTCTCTCTCTCCCTCTATATATATATATATATATATATATATAGGGTATATTTCAAATGCAACCATGTTCATTTGTACAACCAATGTAACCAAATTAATTAAAATATTTATAGAAATGATGAGAGTTCATTTATTATGATTTAAAAATTTATGAAAGATTATTAGAGTTTATTAATTATGATCAATATTTATATTTAAAAACAATAAAAACTTGTATGAAATTACATATTCATCAAATTAAATAAACGGTTGAGATTGAGTTGTATTGGTTGTACAAATATAAAGGGTTGCATAATAACTCACCTCTATATAGGGTATATTTCAAATGCAACCATGTCCATTTATACAACCAATTAATTAAGATATTTATAGAAATGACGAGAGTTTATTTATTATGATTTGAATATTTATGGAAGATGAATAAAGTTAATTAATTATGATCAATGCTTTATATTAGAAAAAACAATCAAAACTTCTATAAAATCACATATTTATCAAATTAAATGGACGGTTAAGATTGTATTGTATTAATTATACAATTATAAAAAGTTATATAATAACCAACCCCCCCTCTCTCTCTCTCTCTCTATATATATATATATATATATATATATATATA